AATTAAGTTAAGATAAGTTTTTATAAATCATGTTGATGATGTTGGTAAAAGTAAGCATATTTTAAGTTTAAATCAAGTATAATGTGAAATATAGTTATTTTCACATTTGAGTTATGACATGCTAAGTATAATACCATATTGATGTTTATGAAGACATGATTTATACAAGGTTAAGTAATTGACCTTAAGTATAAATAAAAAGAGAAGTTAAGTATAAACTTGAGAAAAAGCAAGTTTAATGAATTTCTATAAGATTTGGATAAGTTAAAAATCCTAAAAATCTTATTGAGTATATGAGCATAGTACTTAGTATATTTGTCTATATTTGATGTAACTTGCAGATACAGTACCAGTACAGCACTTATCGTTTTTCAAATGATTTCAAAGACAAAAAGGTGGGGACCCTGAATGGGTATCACATTGAGTACGATATGGATGGGATGAGGAGACCATCAGTTGTCTCAGAGTATATCCTAAAGTTTAAGTTTATTATTGGGATGATGAGGCATTAATTTGTTCTCAGAGATAATATCCTAAGTTCTGATGGAGGCCGTTAGGTGCCTTAGAAATATCCATCAGAGTGTGCACACGTATCCGCTTAACTATCGGCAAGATAAGAGAAAAGTTTAAGTTACCGATCAGATATCGGTTTATGATTATTCATATTCGTTACTCACCCCCATGAGTTTTAGTTTCAGGTAACAGGTCGAAGAGGAGGTGTGAGTGGAGCAGTGTTGGTGTGGATAGTGGACTCAGATGAAGACAAGCTTTGATACGGACATTTATAACATTCTGTATAATTAACCACGTTTTCAAGTAATTCCGCTAAGCACATTAAGTATTGAACTTGCATTTTAATGAATTTCATATTTCAAGTTTTTACCATTATGAGAAATATGATTATGGTATTTTAAATGCAAGTTTAAAGGAAATCTGTTTTAATTATGTATCAAGAAGTATTAGACAAAAGTTTAAAGATAAACGGATTTTCAAGATGATGAGTTTGAGTAGCATCCCGAGTTAGTCGCAAAAGATTTCGAAAGAATTAAGTATATTCGAAGTAAAAGTTGCGAAAAATTTACTCTGATAAGCGGGGTGTTACATATTCATCTTATAAGTTGACATTTTCATTTTACTAAGAAACATATTCATCATTTTAATAAACATATATACGCACAAAATGAACTTATTCATGTTGTACAAAAATCAAACATATTCATCCTGTTACACAACATGTTCAATCGATAATAAAACATATGCATTTTATAACATAACATCTTCATCTTATAATTTGACAATTGCAGGTGGTTTTTCTTGGTTATGTGACGAAATCATTTCCTAGTCTCGGCAAACAGTTGCACTCCGGATCGTCTTTTTTGGAACAATGGATCCAGCCAGAAATGGCGAGAGCAATGTTTGTTTTTAAACAAATGGGCGGTTATGACGATAATTTTGTAATTTGATTCCTTAGATCTCTTTTTTCTTTTTAAAATATGTTTTAATGATACAAACATTTACTTGAGAGTTTCTCGAGTCGGCAAATTGGGAATGTCGTGTTGTATTTAGTGGTATCGTGTTGTGGTCTCTGATGGAGACGCATGGTCTGTGATGAAATCGTGAGCAAGTTATCAGTGTGACTCGGATACAAGACTGAAACTTGGCGTCACGTGTCCACCTTGATGGTGAGGTAGTCGGAGTACACTGACAATACACCGAACGACCTGTTGAGGTCTTGTGTGTTGTTAGGTACGAAGCAAGTCGTTTATACTCATGAGTATAGGCTAAACCGAACTGGGTCCCTTGCAAGAAGATGTATGCCTGAGCTCGGGCAGGACTGATCACCCTCCCGAGCAAGAAGGTAAACATATGAGCAAAGGGCGAGTCGGATTGGTTGTATGTGAGTACATGTCTTTCGAGTATAAGGCGATAGGACTCATGGGAACGGAATCGAGTTCCGGAGAGTGATGCCCAGACCTCGTGATTGGAAATTCCTATTTGAGTCTGTCGTTATCTGAGATGCGTGTTCTTTTGCATTTCTGAGGACGAAAATATTTTAAGGAGGATAGATTGTAATGCCCCGTTTGATTATGGAATATTTGAGAATTTATTATTATTATTATTATTATTATTATTATTATTATTATTATTATTATTATTATTATTATTATTATTACNANNNGNNGNNANNANNANNA